TTAATCTTCTTATGTTTTAAAGTGTATACAATGAGATCGTTTAAATGATATATTTTGCTGGACATCTTAAACTTTAGATTATTGTATGAAAAAATGCTATATTTTTAATGATAAATGATAGCCTTAAAATAATTCTAAAAAAAATTCTAGAATATTTTTTATACTAAAAATAGAGTAATAAAATTATAATATAAATTATAGGTGTATGACAAATTTATAAAGGAACTAATCTATTGTAAAAGTGCATGTATATATTACACATAATATATATAGGCATACTATTATATTATAAAAATTCTGAAAAAAATTCCAAGATATTTTTTACATCACAACTTGAATAATAAAATAAAAATATGATATTTTATATTGTATGATAAATTTAAAAAGCAACTAATCTCTTGTAAAAGTGCAATATTTATTACATATACTATATACAAAGAAACAAGTATAAAGGTACAAAGCGGATAAAGACACAAGTCCATAATAATAAAGATACAAAATATAAAAGATACTGGTACTTCAATGTACTCGAACTTCTCCATAATCACGATCAACAAAGAGAGATAAAAGAAAAAGTATTCTCATCCATTTACACTCCTACTCCCACATGCAGCTTGGCTGCTGCTCAGGTTGGCTGCTGTTTAGGGAAGGCAGCAGCGATTACGATTATGCTCGAAAGGAAGACGTCTCCAACTACTATTCGGGCGAAACTGTTTGGGCGAGACAAAGGAAACCTACAAAACGTCATGATTATGGCAAATTTTCGGTGCTCTTTGTGGACAGTTAGCATTGCGCTTTTCACGAGCTATCTGTCTGTGGGCCGACATGAAAGGAAAAACGTCTCTATTCAATTGAATCACATTGTCCGGCATATTCGAAATCATCGACTGCAAAATCTCAAATGTCATGCCAGAGAGGAGACTGCTCCTTTGTCAGGCTCGATTGGACTGGACCGAACGGCGACTGCCCGTCGCTTTCTAAACTGTAGGCAAGTTTCACAAATTAGAGGCCCGGCCCGGCCCGGCGTGCACCAAAAACTCGCAGCATTCGCCAGGGGCGGTCCTGCTGACGAGATCTGTGAAACATTCGGGTCCGGCCTGCGTTATATCTGGCGGGCTGCCTGGCGGGCTGCCTGGCGGGCTGCCTGGCTAGTTTTATGGTTGACGCGAGCATCTTGCGATTTGACTTATCCGCTTTTGTCCTGCCGGCAGCTGCGTTTGATATTTGTCCTGCGACTTTGCCTCCTGACGTCTTACTCACAAGCAGGCTGCAGCAGGCCGACAGCTTCCCTGGTAGCATTTCAGTTGAAATGAACACATAAAAAAAAGCAAAAGACGAGGATGAAACCTTTTGCGCAATGTTTGTTTGCCTTTTCCAGCGTTATTTCGTTCTTCTTGTTGTTCTCTGCTGTAGGTGGTTACTAATTGGGTTATTGTCAATATTTGATAAGATTAGTTTGTCCCAATTTGCAGCTGCTGCAACCGTCAGCCATTCAGCTCCTACTTAGTAGCTGGCTGCCCCTGCCACTACCACTGCCCCTGCCCCTGCCCCTGCTCCGACCACCTGCCCATTAATATGCTCTGGCACTAGCTCGAATTGAAAATTTATAGTTCCATAGAAGCGCCACAGCGCTTGTTATCCTTCCTGGGCCCAGACATTATTTAAATCGTTAAGCAGGCAAACAAAAACCCAAGCCCAATCACAATGCATGGCGGCCACCTAGCGGACGGGGCGCCAGGAAGCCAGGCACCCAGTCGGCTTCGGCTCCGGCTCCTGTCATAATTTAAATCGCGGCCACGCGTAAGCCCAGACACAAAATATGCTAAACTATTGCCGAGCACTTTGTGGCCATAATTTTCCGGGAAAAACGCATGAAAATGAGCATTAGACTACGACAACAACAACAAAGAAACCAAAAAAAAGGGGGAAAAGGGTTTCATCCATTTTAACGATTATGCAATACGCCATTCGCCTCTATCTCACTCCCTCACTGTCTTTGTCTCTCTGTCTCTCTCTCTTTCTCTGCTGCCTCCTGCGCATACGAAATCAGGCTTTTACCTGTTGATGATGTTGTGGCACACGGAGCCTTGGGGCCTGCCGGAAGGTTGTGACAATGTTATACGCTAATTGAGCACAAAAACATTTTTGCCCTCAACGCGTTCAATGGTTTTATGGAAATATTATTACACTGTGCAACAAACTTGCGCCCAATATGAATGCGAATTGCTGTTAATGCAGCCGAGCTCGGATTACAAGGGTGCAAATATCCAGGAGCTAATTTGCATAAAGTGCGGAAAGCCAGATTGAAGCTATTAAAACTATATAGAGAAAGGCTTGAATTTGTAGTGAAATAGAATTATACTTAGTTTATCTTTAGGCTCTGTTCCTTGGCACACGTGTCGCAGCCAAAAGAGCCAAACATAAAAAAAAAATGAGAAACATATTAAATATTCCCTATATCTAGTTGGCTCCTAAGAATTTCACCGGCTTATGACAGTTTTATGAGTCTGCCCCCGCTCAAGGGGCAGGCGGCGGGGCCAGGCTGGTTTGGTTTAAATGCCAGCAACAAAAAATTATAATTATGCATAATTTAATTTTATTCTAATATGCATTTTCCCAATAGCATTTTCCAGTTTCAGAATTCTTGGAAGGTGCACGGCTCGCTCCGCGGGCGAAGCGGAAGCCGCTGGCGACAGGCGACCCCTGCTCCAATCTCTGCCGACTGCAGCAAAGTAGAGTGTGTGTGTGTGTGTGTGTGCCTGCATGTGTGTGGTTGTTGTCATTAGACAAAAATTTATGCATTTTTCTTTCTTTTTTTTTTAGTGGTAATTTGATTTTGATTTGGGAATTTTAATTAATAATCATGTTTGGGGCGCCTTGGCGCATTGCATTTTTGATGAAATATTGTTCAAGCGGAGAAATACGGCCGGGGGACAGAACGGATCAGCATAACAGCACGACATGAACAGTGAATATACAAAATCCCAATCGAGCCACAAAAATATTCAACATAATAATTTTATGGTATTTAAAACAACTAATTGGCCAGAAAGAACAACAATTGAGTGTTTGAAAAGCTTTTGATTTGCCCCTCAGGTGTGGCCCGTTTATGAGATTGGGCATTGTTAATGGGGTTTTGATTTTATTTTCCATGCGGGTTTTATGGAGCTTATAATTATGAAAAATCTGTTGAGCTTTATTATTGATAAGTAGGTGGATCAATGCCATAAAAGCGATGCCATAAAAGCAAAACTCATCAACGGCTTATAATTATGAATATTTAATGGCATTTCAGCGCGCACTAAATTCTAACAACGAATTTCCACTTAACTAAAAATCTGGAAAAAAAGAGAGAAGCGAAAGAAAGGAAATGCTGTCTTGCATTACAGTAACATTATCTGCAGGAGTACGAAAAAAAAAAAAACTCAATTAAGATGCGCTTGAGCACAGCCCTAAGGGAAGACAGAAGGCAAACTAAAGCAGGAAATTTGCGAGAAAAAAAGGAGAAAAGATCAATTTTCTGCGAACAGAAGGAGCACACTTTAACAGGATAAGATGCATTTAAGCAAATGAGCTCACAAAGAGCACAAAAAGTAGCAAAAAGCGAGAGAATGAAGGAAGACACGTCGCGTCGGCAGCGCATTGAAGTAGGCCAAACAAAAGGCAAGCGAACCACTTGGCCAGCGGCAAATGGTCAACTGGCCAAAGAACCACAAAAGGCAAGCGGCCAAACGGCCAACGGCAGCAGCTGGCTAAGATGAGCAGCACAAGATTAATAAAGATGAGGGGCACAAAGGAGGCCAACAAAAGGAGGCTGCGATTGATGAAATGCGGAAGTCTTAAGCTGAAAGCCAGGAAGCAGCCGCTGCGATCTATCGATGATGAAATTTTTAAAACCATTTAGCAAATAATTTCAGCAATTTGTTCGTTGAATTCTTTAAAGGCATTGCGAATGCAATAAATGTGCTGCCCAGCGGCATGTCCTTAGTAGAAGCATCCTGTTGTGCGCTGCAATATTCAAAAAAGTATCCTGCTGCCAGTGTCAACTATGCATAGATAGACTTTTTTTGGCACAGCTCACTTTCCGACTGTTGACACTTTCAGCTGTCCTGTGGAACACCACCCGTTGACCCCGAATGTCCTGGTGCTAATATGTTAAACAGCAGGTCGCCGAGCTGAACTGTCGTCGGACTTTACAGCTCACAGCGCGCTTTAGCCAGAAAAAATCGGCATTTGTTTGCTTCAAACACAACTGTGGGAACGCCGATCTCTATCTATTCCATCTCGATCTATTCAAACCCGAAACACTTGACCCACATGCAGCGACTACAACAGCGATCTGAACATATCTCTGTCCTTCGGCCAAATTACGCAGCCTGTAATCGATATACTGACGAGCTCAGTACAGGATCACTTACAAGCGATTTTATGCTACATTGAGTTATAAGACACAAACAATAGCATTAGATAAGAGCCAGCTGCCAGCAGCCGCGAGAGATGTGGGCACAATCGATTGAGTTTTCTTGTGGTTTCGATATCAAAACAATTATAATAGAGGTAAACAAATGGGGCCAAATAGGGTAACCAGGAGAAAGCAGAAATCTCAAGGCAAAGAGAATCCTGTCTTGGAGTGTTTTGTATAAAGTTTCATAATTCATAATAAGAAAATTTGAAAAACATTTTTCTCTCACTATCCAGAAAGTTCCTAAAGGGATATAACAATTGAGTAGTGATGAAATGAAAAAGGTTAAAATTTTCCAGCCTAGTAGGCTTTGTATATTAAGTTTGATACTTTATAAAAATGTTTTATGTTTTAAGAAAGCAATCCTGGAGAAATCTGTCACTAAAGTCATTAGACACCCGTACACCATGTTGAGCGTTACCCACTTATTTATTCTACTGCTGAGTGTCAAGCATTGTACAACGATTGCGTCTCCGAGCTTGTAAGTTTTTTTTCCCCACATTTTTCTCACATTATTTATATGTACGGGTTCGCAGAAAAATCCGTTTTTCTCCGTTCTACAAGTTGATAGCTAAGAAAATAAGATATGGGACGCCGCAAGTCGAAACGTAAGCCACCGCAGAGACGTAAACTTATCCAAAACCTGGAAAAGCAGTTCAATTGTCCCTTTTGTAATCACGAGCGATCCTGTGATGTTATTATGTGAGTCTTAAAGTAGAATGCCTAAGTAATACTCTATTACTTATCCATGATCTATCTCGAACAGGGACAAATCGCGTAAAATCGGTCGCATTATATGTCGCGTCTGCCAGGAAGCCTTTCAGAGCCAAATCATGTCTCTATCGGAGCCCGTAGATGTCTACAACGACTGGATTGATGCCTGCGAAGAAGTTAATTAGCATACTAAGCAAACTCTACTACAACAAATCATTTACATACAGCAGGCATATAATTGTTTGTAAAGGTTAAAATTTGTATGCTTTTCGATTTGTTTCACTCGAAAGTATGCAATATCTTTTGTTGTTGCTTCTGGATTACCAGATAAGCCTGAAGCTATGCTTTGAAACCCACAGTTTCTGTACACTGATCTAATAGTAAGCCTAAAATATATTAAATATATTACAAAACTGATATAGCTTATTTAATATAGAGTATAGGGAAAGGTGATTAAAATATAGAATATAGGAAAAAGTGATTAAAAATCAGACGTGTACATATATTTTGGTTTAAATGCATCAGAAATATGTATATGTATATATAATCTTAGGAACATATTCTATTAATTTAATTATTTTCCCGTTTTTTTCTATAAATTTGTATATATTTTTTATTATTGGAATACATTATATTATCAGCATATTCATTTCTAAAAAAAATTAATTTACTTAAAACATTAGTTAAAGTAGCAAATTAAATAAATTTCTAAAGACTACGTCGATGGCCCTCGTAGCTAGCACGTTTAATAATTTTTAGATTTATATTTTTTATATATTATCTAATAAATAAATAAATAAATAAATAAATTTCTAAAGATTTCAATTTCTGAAAATATAGTTTAGTTTCACTCGAAATTATTTAAGATAATTGTTTAATCTTAGTTAGCATTGATGTCAATCACATGGAAATAAAGTAGTCCGTGAAGCTTTTAACCTAATAAGTGTGACACAAATTTAGATAAAACATTATTTGAACAGTTGTAGGGCAACATGAATTTCGTGATAAACAGCATTTGCCAAAAGTTGGCTATAAAAGGGGCAGGCGTCGCTTCACTTGGCATAGAAATTAACTAACCAATTAACTTAATCAACATGATTGCCAACAAATTCCTCATCATGAGCATGGGTAAGCATATCAGGCCGACTTCTATAAAGATCTTGACTAACTTCTCTGCCTCCCTTATAGCTCTGTTTGCTTTGATCCTTGTCGCTTCTGCCGAGGATAGCGGAGAGCAGATCGCGGATCGTCGCTTCCGCTGGTTTGGATCCAACGAACAGGAGGAGGAGCAGGACGTCGATGATGATGGTGATATTGAAGAGGAAGACGATGTGGAAGAAGAAGAGGAAGAGCCAGTAGAAGACGCAGACAGCCTAGAGGCAACAGAAGAGGACCAAGAGGAAGACGAAGACGCAGAGCCACTTGATAGCGAAAGCTCAGAGGACAGCGCTTAAATCAAAATAAATAGTTTAACTTAATTACCATTTTTGCTACAATTTTGTATATTTTTTTATAAGACCGCAATTAAATAAAAAGTAAATCGCAAAAAAAAAAAAAAACCAAACGATATGTGTATAATTAATTTTATTTAACATAATTTAAAGTATGCATAATTCAATTTTTAATATGGTTTACAAACATTTAATTATTTATACTTGTATTTATTTGTATTATGCATTTAAATATATAGTATTTATATTTAAACTATGACTAAACATAAGTTTCATACAATTATGTCATCGCTCAATAATTTAATTGAAATCTGATAAAATATATTATTTTACCTTTTCTACATTTTAAATAAGTTTTTTTTTTCTTTTCTTTTAACCAAAATTGGAATTGGAATGATACACAGGCAACAAATCGAAATGTAAAACAGAAAACGCTGAACAAAAATAGATATATATATATATATATATTTATATCTTGTATCAATTAATAGACGGTTTATTTAAAGAGGTTCCTTGAGGTTTCCATTACTCGGCTGATTCTCGCGTAACATTTGATTCAGCGCAATACCAAGAGAGATCGTTCGTGATTGGCTCCGGTTTGGAAATGAATCGCCAACAATTAATTGCACAAGTTAATTAGATTATATCCTGCCTATTTACTTTAACTCCTCATTGATGTAGTTGTAGTTTGCCTTAATGCGTTGCGTTGCGTTGCGTTTTGAGTCTTGTTTTCTCACCGCACACCCCAGCCACAATCCAACTGTTCCGACTGCCGGCGGCGTCATCACACATTGCTGTCGGTGCCCACGGCTCCGGTGAAGGAGAACGGCTGCGCATTGCTCACAATGCCCGCTCGGTCGCTGGTCGTCGACGCTGCATTGCCACCATACGATGTCTGCGCTGCCGCGGCTCGCATATCGGCAGCGGAGGCTCTGCGATGGGTGAGGAAAGCAAAACATTAGACATGTATTCACAAACGATATGATCTAGTATAAGTAGAGCTTGCTAAAACTTAAGACAACATATGGCTAAAGAGTACTAGAAATAAAGGTATGTTAGGTTAATAGAAAGCTAATGGGAATGTGTTTCGAAGGTGGGACTCGTGCTTTGCATAGGCCAAAAAACTAGCTATATTAGTTAAGGTTCGACTTATCGACTAGGAAACCGCCTGTATCCAGAATTCTTACTCAATCTGTTATGCACCAAGTGTTTAATCATGAAAACTAAAAATAGTAACTATAGTAAGCTATGGAATTCTTAAGGGTGTAGTCACGAGCTTAGTCAAAGGGAGACGAATCTTCCGAAATTTTCTGTTGAAATTAGCTTAATCTAAGAAATTTTTAATAATAGTTTTGAAATTTCACTAAGAATACAACATTTATTGATTTAATATACTTTTCGTGAGCTTAGAGTAAGTACAGTGCATAATAGACTTGGTAAGAGTTGAGTTAAATGAAGAATTGAAACACAGGTACAAAAAATATATCCAAAACTGACTTGAAATTTGAATTTAAAAGCTATTAAACAAAAACGAAATACATAGGCAAAGATAACAAAAGACATACATTAAAAAAAATACAAATTTATAAAATTTAACAAAGATGCTTTCATTAGAAATATCACAGCCTTATTAATTCGTATTTATAAGTATAGAAAAGTCCATGCAAACTGCAAACAACAAAATAAATAGAGCAAACTCAAAAGAAAACTAACAGAGGGATCTTTTATAGGATATAGACAGAGTGAAAGCAATTCTTAGAAAGTAGCACCTTTCTATTTACATTCTAAGTTACATCAATGTAGTGCAATTGATTCGGTTCGACTACAGAATGTTAGATTGGACTAATAATTCGTGCTAAGTAGAAATTGACATTAGCGTACTTCTTGCTGTTGTTGTTGAAGTTTATGTCGCTCATTTGCTGCAGGCATTATTAACTGGGACTGTGTGTTCTGTGGCAGTTTGGCATGTACAATTCATTGGCATAATATGTTTGATAATATTTATTTCAGTTAACTCGTTAACATAATATTTTACTTGAATGTTTTTAGTGTTGCGTTCGTTAGGCATATATATGTATATATATATATAATTATTTAACTAATTTCATCTATATATTTAATGTATATTAAGCTAGGACGACGTTGTTCAGGCTGCTTACGAGAAATTGATTTTTGTAACAAGTAACCAGAGAGTATGCATTTATACGGAGAAAGCCACATTGGATGCCAATATGGATCCACTAGGATGCTTATCCACTTTATGCGAGTATTATTATGTTTTTAAATAAATGATTGTGCATAAAACTAAATTAACAATAAGAGCGCTAAGCTTACAGCAATAAATATATAAATTAATTATGATAATAATTTTGTTCAACAAATCATACGAATGGTAATTGAAATAAGCTAAATTTATATTATCTAAAATGGACTGAAATTCTGAGCACACAAAGGCTTTAGCCGAATACATATGATGTTTCAATTTCACAATATCTTTACAAAGTTTCATCAAAAAGTTCTTATATAAATTACAATTGAAATAAATATCATGAACAATTTTGGTATTTATTTGGCTCTACTTTAATAAAAATAAATTTAAAAAATATTGGTTTATCTCAGCTAACATTTACATTTCTTCACATGTTTCATATTCAAGCGCAACGCATATCGAATGAATGCTCTCTGAGTTTTATATATTGCTCTACGATTCTTGACATTATTATACTCATTCACGAAGTGAATTAGTATATTGGTTTTGTGCAATGTCCG